TAAATACCATGGTATTTTATTATATATGGGTAAAAACTGGAATACAAAAGACTTAAGTGGCATGTTGGCATTAGTGTTATTTTTTACTGTAATGTCAATATAATTTAATTTCAGATAATTACCAATTAAATGAGAAAATATTCCATAATAAATATATTCAGTATTCAAGTGTTTTTTGTATTTATTTCCTAAAAATAACATTGGTTAAATCAAATATTTTAAATATTATTTAATTTTTTTTATTAAAAATATATCTGTTACATTAAAGGATGGACATTATTTAACACTTTATTTTTTACTTTTTCTTCTACAAGAGTAATTAAAGCGTACCTTTTATTAATATCTAATAAGCTTTCTATGAATATGAATTCCCTTTGATGCATTTCACTTGACAACAAAATATTTGTTGTTTTAGACTTAGAATAAGAACAGTGGGCACCACAGTGGTGCAATTGGTAGCACAATCGCCTCACAGCAAGAAGGTCGCTGGTTCAAGGCTCGGCTCGGCTAGGTCAGTTGGCATTTTTATGTGGAGTTTGCATGTTCTCCCCGTGTTGGCGTGGATTTCCTCCGGGTGCTCCGGTTTCCCAAAAACATGTGGTACAGGTGAATTGGGTAAGCTAAAATTGTCCGTAGTGTGTGTGTATAGAGTTTCCCAGTGATCGATAAAACATGGATAACACAGTAAAGCATTCCGCTGAGGCGACCCCAGATAAATAAAGGGACCAAGCCGAAAAGAAAATGAATGAATGAATGAAAACAGTGACCTCTATTGTTCAGAAAACGTTACTGCAAATCTCACAATTCATTGCAAATACAGGAAATAACCCAAATGATAATAAAGTATTACTATTGTAATTATTATTATTTATAATTATATAATTATATATTATTAAATATTATTAATAAATATTAGCATTATTTATAATTATTATTATTTAGTAATTAATTTTAAAACACATTAGATCAGTTCACAAAGACACAGTTTTCCCTTTATGAACCAGCAGACCCAAAATGTAACTAAAAACTAGATTCATTTTATTGCAGCTATTTTATTTATTCATAGCAGCACATTTACAGGAAAAAAAGATAGCAGCAGGAGTAAAAAAACGCCCCTACAAATACCAAATACTTATATTTCCGTTTTTCTTTCATGAATATCTGAGAAATAGCTAATACATTTTACTGTCACATCTGACAGAGAGTACTAAAGCAGAACATTTTTCATCTTCAGTAGAGAATATGCATATTTATGGAACAGATTTTAAAGGAAAGTCGTTTCATTATCTGCTTTTAAATGTATTTCTATTAAACTAGAAGCCTCAACTAGTAATTACTGTATTATTTTCTCTTGCAACCAATTAATTGAATTGATTTGAGCAATTTTAGACTATTTTGGGCTAAATTTAGTGACTCGGGTGCCTATGAATTCTGTGTTTTATTATATAAAGAATTAAGAAATAGTTTGATATGCAAAGCCATATGCAATAACGTGGCTACTAAAACAGCCCTTCCACTTACACATTTTGTTAATTCAGTTTTAAAGGGAAAACATTACAAATAAAATAACTATTTTAAACTAAATCATAATCGGTCCTGATGATTTAAAATAAAATGTTTGTTTGTTTATGGCTTTTCCCAGAAGACGGATGAAACGATCACAGTTCTGACCAGATTATTCTGAAATACATCTCTTAATAATACAGCTTTAAGTTGTGCATCCTCCTTTTGAATTAGTGGAAATACCACAGGAATGCTAGTGTATTCTGATAATAACTTATTCATTCATTCATTATAGTGCCTTTATTTATCAGGGATCGCCACATCGGATTGAACCACCAACTTATCCAGCATATGTTTTACACAGCGGATGCCATTCCAGCTGCAACCCAGTACTGGGAAACACCCATACACTCTCATTCACACACTTCAGCCAATGTAGTTTGTTCAATTCACCTGTACTGCATGCCTTTGGACTGTGGGGAAAAGCGGAGCACCCGGAGGAAACCCACGCGAACACGAGGAGAACATGCAAGCTCCACACAGAAATGCCAACTGACCCAGCTGGGACTCGAACCAGCGACCTTTTTGCTGTGAGGCGTGTCGCCTTGATGATAACTCTCCACACATTAAAAGATATGACATAAAAGAAACAAAACTATATAGGTTAGAATTATGCGTTTTAATCCAAATCTATCATAGGCATCGATTCTAGAATGTGAAAATATCTCGAGACACAAAAATAAATATCTTCTAAAAAGATGTATAGTGTAAAAGTAAATATTCACATAAATATTGAGTATTATAAGAGAAAAAATACAATTAGTATCTTACAGAGATGAAGACGAGTCACAAAAAAGTCAGTTTCCAGTTCCTATTCACAGTTCTTCCCCATGCAGAGATACACAAGAGCACCCTTCAAACAAAATGTCTCCAACAACAATAGAGCATAGCCTCTACTAAAAAGTAGGCATTAAAAATCACCCAAGATTCTGAGCAAAGAAAACTTTGAACACCAAACATAGCAGGCTCAATCGAGTCATTTCTGTGACATTACAGAGAACAGCTCCCTCATAATGTATAGATTCATCCACATGCTAACAGTCTGCCAGCTAACTTCACATTAGCATATTAGCTATAGTTTGGCAGCTGTACATCATGTCTGTCACTAAAACACAAACATTGCCTCACATAATGTTTCTCTACATTCAAAACTCACTTCATAAACAAAATTTACAGACATTGAACCGACTGAGCCACGAAACTGCCCATTTTATTTTAAAGGTAGATCAAAGGTTTGACATTGCATTAAGCTGATGATGGCTATTTATTGGCTTATAGTTTTACATCCTAACAATCATAAGTACAGCTGTGGTGAAAAATCATCAATCGATTCAGCAGCGACTCTGAAATTTTCAAAATTCTTAGTTATTAGCAACAGATGGCGCTCTAGGCTAGTTTTTAAGAGAAGATGGCGCTCTAGGGTAGTTATTAACAGCAGATGGCGCTCTAGGCTAGTTTTTGAACAGCAGATGGTGCTCTAGGCTAGTTTTTTTAACAGAAGATTGCACTCTAGGCTAGTTTTTTGACAGAAGATGGCGCTATGGGCTACTGTTTACAAGAAGATGGTGCTCTAGGCTAGTTTTTAAACAGCAGATGGTGCTCTAGGCTAGTTTTTTTAACAGAAGATTGCACTCTAGGCTAGTTTTTAAGAGAAGATGGCGCTCTAGGGTAGTTATTAAGAGCAGACGGCGCTCTAGGCTAGTTTTTGAATAGCAGATGGTGCTCTAGGCTAGTTTTTTTAACAGAAGATTGCACTCTAGGCTTGTTTTTAAAAGAAGATGGCGCTCTAGGGTAGTTATTAAGAGCAGACGGCGCTCTAGGCTAGTTTTTTAACAGAAGATTGCACTCTAGGCTAGTTTTAAAGAGAAGATGGCGCTATAGGGTAGTTATTTAGAACAGACGGCGCTCTAGGCTAGTTATTGAACAGCAGATGGTGCTCTAGGCTAGTTTTTTAACAGAAGATTGCACTCTAGGCTTGTTTTTAAAAGAAGATGGCGCTCGGGTAGTTATTAACAGCAGACGGCGCTCTAGGCTAGTTATTGAACAGCAGATGGTGCTCTAGGCTAGTTTTTTTTAACTGAAGATTGCACTCTAGGCTAGTTTTTAAGAGAAGATGGCACTCTAGAGTAGTTATTAAGAGCAGTAGGCGCTTTAGGCTAGTTTTTGAACAGCAGATGGTGCTCTAGGCTAGTTTTTTAACAGAAGATTGCACTCTAGGCTAGTTTTTAAGAGAAGATGGCGCTCTAGGGTAGTTATTAACAGCAGATGGCGCTCTAGGCTAGTTTTTGAACAGCAGATGGTGCTCTAGGCTAGTTTTTTTAACAGAAGATTGCACTCTAGGCTAGTTTTTTGACAGAAGATGGCGCTATGGGCTACTGTTTACAAGAAGATGGTGCTCTAGGCTAGTTTTTAAACAGCAGATGGTGCTCTAGGCTAGTTTTTTTAACAGAAGATTGCACTCTAGGCTAGTTTTTAAGAGAAGATGGCGCTCTAGGGTAGTTATTAAGAGCAGACGGCGCTCTAGGCTAGTTTTTGAATAGCAGATGGTGCTCTAGGCTAGTTTTTTTAACAGAAGATTGGACTCTAGGCTTGTTTTTAAAAGAAGATGGCGCTCTAGGGTAGTTATTAAGAGCAGACGGCGCTCTAGGCTAGTTTTTGAATAGCGGATGGTGCTCTAGGCTAGTTTTTTAACAGAAGATTGCACTCTAGGCTAGTTTTAAAGAGAAGATGGCGCTATAGGGTAGTTATTTAGAACAGACGGCGCTCTAGGCTAGTTATTGAACAGCAGATGGTGCTCTAGGCTAGTTTTTTAACAGAAGATTGCACTCTAGGCTTGTTTTTAAAAGAAGATGGCGCTCGGGTAGTTATTAACAGCAGACGGCGCTCTAGGCTAGTTATTGAACAGCAGATGGTGCTCTAGGCTAGTTTTTTTTAACTGAAGATTGCACTCTAGGCTAGTTTTTAAGAGAAGATGGCACTCTAGAGTAGTTATTAAGAGCAGTAGGCGCTTTAGGCTAGTTTTTGAACAGCAGATGGTGCTCTAGGCTAGTTTTTTAACAGAAGATTACACTCTAGGCTTGTTTTTAAAAGAAAATGTCGCTCTAGGGTAGTTATTAACAGCAGACGGCGCTTTAGGCTAGTTTTTGAAAGATGGCGCTCTAGGCTAGTTTTTACTAGAAGACGGCGCTCTAGACTAGTTTTTAAACAGAAGATTGCACTTTAGGCTAGTTTTTAAACAGAAGATGGCGCTCTAGGGTAGTTATTAACAGCAGATGACGCTCTAGGCTAGTTTTTAAATTTACACTCAAATGCTCACAAGGAAGTTTTTGTGTGTTGAGCTTAGTCATGCAAGTTGGTGTTTATGCAAGGAGATGTATGTAAACAGCTAATTAACTTTAACTTGTAACATTAAGGAATTTGACACAAGCCGAGTACAGCTGTTTTTACAGTGCTATCTGCTGTTAAATGGTCAGGTTCTCTTTCAGTTCAAGTTCAGTTCAGTTCATTTAAAAAATAATAAAAAAAAGCAACTAAAATACTAAAAGACTAAAAATTTGAGATAAAGTATAAGGAAATGCAACATTTTTTTATTTATTTAAAGAGCGATTTTTATCAAATTTAGACACATGCCTACTTTGAAGGTATTTTTCAAATTTCAATACAGACTTGTGGAAGCTGATACTTTTAACAACACTACCAGCACCACGACCCATCATGAACGCCTGTCTTAACTGATGTTCAACACTATAAATCTGTTAAAATCTAAGAAGATTTGATCACAGGTTGTATGACCCGTTAAATACTAAGCTCAGAATTCATTCAAGAGAGTAGGAATTCACTTTGCAAATCTCAAAATCAATGCAGAATTGAATCCTCAAGCGATTTTTCGCCACAGCTCAACAAGTGATAAAAGCTACAAAAGATAAAAGGCTGCTTCCCCAGCATATACAGCATTAGGGTGTACTGCGAGTCAGAATATTCACACAACCTGTCAATAATACTGGTTGGACACTCCCTTCTGATTTGCCAATAAAAGCAATCTGCCCTGTTCCAGCGTGCCAGACACCGGGAAATATAATAACATAAAATAACCCCACTACAATGATTCTGAGCATCAATTATTAATATTTTAGAATCAGTATTAGAATGACGCACGTCTAGAGGTATTATTATGATGAGATAATGTCATACACACATATATAGGACACTCATACATGCAAAACAGACACCAAGCTAAATGAGATGGCAAGAACTGACATATGTAAACCAAAAATCAAAAATAAATACATGAAGCTATTTCTTTTTCAAATTGTTGATGCTTATCTGATGTTTTACCAGGAATGTGCATTTCTAATCTGTAATCTTATACAAATTAGTCTAAAATACACTGAGAATCTAAAGAGATGAAAGAGAAAATAATTTAAACAGTAAATATTGAGATAAGCTTGATGAAATCAATGAGACAGAAGCAACTAACCACACTGAAAATACACATATATAAAGTGCTAGGAGGAAAATGCAAAACACATTTTGATTTTCTCTTTCCCCTTTTAACTAAAAACAAGTTTTTTAATAGCTTATAGATGCCCAAGTGTACTGAGACAAACAGGTTTCAATAGAAAATGTGTTAAAAATACAATTCTCACTCTTCAGACTACTTCTATCAGGCATTCTTGATTATATGTTGCTAAAGATAGACCTCACAAAGTTACCCAAGGCTCGGTGAGAAAGTGTGGTGTCTGCAGATCATGTTGAGGCACAACTGCGGTCATCCCATGTGTCCTGATCTCCTCAGAATGCTCTCTTTGTCACTTTAGATATACTCAAGGCAACATTTTAGTTCCTCTGACTGCATGCCTCAGACTTCCAGGTGCTTTAAAGGAATTGAAGGTACTTCAATATATTAAGTGCCTGCTTTATTCAGATGGGGGTGCAGAACCACTTCTTGAGGTTTTCCTTTGGGTTCTGCAATCGTGCCAACAAACAGCGACTCGACATTTGTATTAAATGGATTTAGTTGTGATTCTTCAAGAGATTTTGCCAAATTTGTCAACAGGCAAATATGCGATCTCTTTGTAAATGTGACAGCTCAGTATTGCTCCATAAGCTAAATGTCTCCTATATCCAAAATATCAAAAATAGAGCATACCCAAATATCTAATATGTCTGAGAGAAATATTTATAATCAAGGGATTTCTAAAGTACCAACTTCAGTACAAGTTCATACTGAAATCTAAATAAAATAATTTTCCGCTACCATTTCAGCACTGTTAAAGGCAGCTGATTGGTCATTGTGTTCACAGATATGACTGTGATAGGCTACAATCATCATCGCTTGATGGTTTTCCCTGAGTGCTTACAGAGAAACACAGACACTTCAGCGTTTGAAAGCCATGTAAAGCCGGGTTCACACATTTAGGCAATTTAAGTTGCCAATCAATGTTCCTCAAGGCTCATTCACACTACGAGCATCTCACAGCGACAAGTGACCATTCATTTTAACTGAGAGCGACCTCGTCCTTCAATGTCCGGCGACCTCCTTCTATGCGAGCGACAATGACTGTTGACGACCAGGTGGGCATGTCAAGCAATGCGACAATGTTGAGAATCCTTCCTCTGGCGACTCTCTTGAGTGACAGCCAAAAATAGTACCATTAGATCCTCACGTTATCCTCTCTCAGCTTGCTCAGAAGCCAGTTGTATTCATGCTGTAGATACCTAAACAGACCTGCGTTTGCAGCAAGTCCCCACCCAGAGCGATAGGCAGCTACAAAGTCGCTGCTAGTGTGAATGAGGCAGTTGCTTATTCTGGGCAATCTTGACTGATTTTGAGTCGATTCCTCCTCTTCACAGTCCTTGGAATATCCCAACTAACTCGTTAGTTCTAAAGACACCTGTGATGCGAGGTGTGTTAAGAGTGACTTAATCTGCTGGGAAGAACATCAGAGAACAGTAATGGCACAGCTCAAAGTGAGATTCATTTGGACACATGAGATGGAGGATCAGCTTGTAATGTCTCGAAAGAGGTTAGAAGATTTCCTGTGCTCAACTCTGGTTGAAGATCTGTTGGTGTGTGTTGTGTTTATTTGCATTAACTTGAAGTATTCTCAACTTTGCTGTGTTGCTGGACACACCCACATCTGGTTACCAATGGTTGCTGACACTTATACAGCCTAAGATTGGTGGAAATCGCTAGCTCTTAATTTAAATAAATGAGATCATGTCGCTGGAAGAGTGAACATGGCTTAAACGCATGGTGAAGAGCATCAAGCGATGATCATTGTAGTCAATCAAATCTCTCGAGTGCATAAACATTAAACAATCACTGGTGTTCATGGATCCACTTAGCAGCACTCAAAATGCAAAGGGAAGTACTTTGATATCACCACATATTTTAAATTTCAGTACAGATTGGTATCAAAGTCGGTACTTCTGACATCCCTGCTATAGTCAATTATGAAATAGAAATATCAGGCAGCTACTCCTTGAAGGCCCTAGTAGGAATGGGAGATGTTATTGCCTTGCTCCTGAAGGCTCACCAGAAGGTCATCAATTTTCTCCATGTTCTGAGAGGTTGTCAAGGTACTCTGCACAGCTCCAGGGTCTGGCATAGCCTGCCCAAGTAAAGACTGGATTTGCCCATCACTCTCTTGCTGACTCTGTCCAGGCTGATTGATGGTAATTATTTGATTAGACAGTGTAGATCCTTGGCTGTTCATGAGTTGACGGCACTCTGCAAAAAATAAAATCATTAGAATGAGTTTTAAAATATAAGACTTGTAAACAGGCAAGCATGTTCAAGAATATTGCCTAACCATTCTGGATCTCGAAGAGGAATAGGTCTGTCTGCTGATCCTGGTTGGGCTGGTTGAGACTCCCACTCATTGTGGTCTGAAAGAGTTGACCAGGCTGTTGCACTGGAGAGGAAGTGCTTGTCTGAATGCCACCTACATCTCCTTGTGGTGCAAAAAGAGCTTCTTGTGTAGTCATCCCCCCTTGCATGTTGGACTGTGCCATGAAAAGATTTACAGACTGTGAAGAGCCTGGATTAGAACTTGGTGCCAACTGCATTGGCTGCTGGTCTTGGAAGATGGGCTTATTTGATGACAGGTTGACCACCATTGCTGTCTGATCCTGAAATGTCATTGGTTCAGATGCCTCCTGCTGCCTCACGGTGACCAGACCAGCCTGAGCGAAGGGAAGGGGAGTGTTCTGTTGCTCTGACGAAGCTAGGCTGCTATTGTTCATTGATCCTATCTGTACTTGGCCACCGAATAACAGATTGGAGGATTGCTCTTGTGTGATTGGAGAGTTTAAGGATCCGAGGAGTAGACCAGCCTGCTGCTGTTGACCAGGGGTGAGTTTGCTTGGTGATTGGGAGATGCTCTGGAACATGGAACCCGGTTGGGCATGCTGTGGGGACTGCTGCTGATCCATCGGAGTGCCTTGCTGAATGGGGGACAGTTGGGTTGGAGTCTGAAATACAGATGGCGCCTCAAGAGATGTCTGCATGGAAGTGAGGAACGCCAGTTGCTGTGGCTGGTTGGCGTTAACGGAAAGTTGAGCTGGTACTGTGTTCTGGGGAAGAAACATACTAGCTGCAGAGGGCTGAGCTTCTGAAGACATGTTGGACCCACTGAGAACCGAAAGATTGCTTTGGAAAATGGAAGCTTGGACCTGATCCTGGTTGGGAGAGGTCTTTTGTGTGTGGAAAAGAGACTCCTGAGGGCTTTGAGCTTCGGTCATTGCTGTAGTGTTGTGGAACATGGAAGGAGAGGAATGACTGGGTTGCTGCTGAAGAAAGCCAGCTCCTTGTTGGAACAAAGTTGCTTGCTGCTGCTGTTGTTGTTGGGATGGGGTGGACTGGAAAAGGGAACTTCCATTCTGCACCATACCCTGGGAAGAGCTCTGCTGCTCTGAACTACAGTGAATTTGAACCTGGGGCTGAAAAAGCTGATGTTGAAGGTTCTCCAGAGCTTGCTGCTGGTGGTGGTGCTGCTGCTGCAGCTGGATTTGCTGCTCTTGATGCTGGATGTGCTGCTGCTGTTGCTGAATTTGCTGCTGTTGTTGGTGGATTTGATGCTGCTGTTGTTGGATTTGCTGTTGCTGCTGTTGAAGCTGATGTTGTCTTTGCTTTGACAGTGAATTCTCACTCTGGAGTTGTATGCCGCAGTATCCTTTCGCTTGCAGCTGCCGCACGGCCTGCTCCAGTTGGGCCACCTCATCTGGAGGTAGAAGAGAGAGCTGTTGCTGCGGATTGTCATCTAATTGGGAAAGAGCCACTACTGAACTGCCACTGCTGCCTGGCATCTCCTGTCCAAGACGGTCTCTGTGTTCCAGGAGGAATGGCTGAACTCCTTGCTGGAGAAGAGATTTATTAGGCACATGGAAAGAGCCACTGGATGCAAGATTCTGTTCCTGGATGGTGTTGAAAGGTTCTTTGTTGGAAAAGACTGAATTCTGAGATTGATCTGGCTCTCTTGTTGGGTGTGCCAACGGACTGGAAAATTTGCAGTTGTTGGTGGAAATCTCAGTACTCATGTCTAAAGCTTGCTGGGCTGAATTGATGACTTCAGAGGTCTGCTGAGTTGCAAATGACAAATACAGAGCTTTATCGAATTGTACCAAAATGCTTGATGCTGATTTATTTGAATGGTTTCTGTCTTGTGATTTGTACAAACCTTGAAGTCCGAAGGGTTACCGGAGACCTCCATCGGAGTGGCCTCTTCACGTTTCACAAGAGGTAAGCCTGGTGTCATCACGGCAGTATCAATTACTTTATGAAACAACAGATATAAAGCTAGTTATGATTACAGGTAACTCGCTAGTAAACATCATGCTATGCTATTATTCACACAGATGATTGCTTACCTTTAATTTGTTCAAAACAACAAGGTGTCACTGGAGGCAAGTCCTCCTTTTTTACAGAAGAATCAACCACTGAAAAGAATTGAGATTGATCATTATCTTATTAGTACTGACTCCAAGACCTAATATGGTTGGGTAAGACAAGGAAAACATCCAGAATGTGTGTAAGGCTGGTGTTCCAGAAGCAGATTTCGGAAAATGTAGTGGAGATGAAACTGACCTGGCTCTGGAGTGTATGTAAATTGTTGAACATCATGTGAACGCCCAGCATTCGTGACAACATAGATACCAACAGATATAGGAGATGTGATAGCTGGATTTTGATATGGTGGGACTTTGACAATAAGATGATTCTAAAAGAAGCACAAAGTCAAATATTTAGAGCGTGCACAGTTATTTTTGCAGTTTACTGTGTAAAATCTGATGGTTTGGGTATGTCAAGAAAAAAAAGTTTAAGATGTAATATGGAAGATGTTTGACACGATAAAGCAAAATTACCTGCAATCAAATTGCTATGTCAGGCCATACAATACACAGCACTTTCAAAATGTGCAATCCTTATTGCATTAATTCTTTCTAAAATCTGACATATTCAAAACAGTCACTCAAAAATAACTTCTTTATTATGAATCTTTGTGTATCTAGGTCAACATTCTGCAGTTTTTTTCTAAATTAATGTCAGGCAACAATTGAGGACACAGATATCTGTGACCTGTGTAAATCTGCCTCTATTTTTACAGCGCTTGCTCATCCCACACAGTCAAATAATAAACAGAGCAGATGCTATGGCTTACCTGATGGAAAAACTCCATGTCAATGTCAGCCTCTGCCTTCCAGGACTTATCATCTGCTACAATCAAACAGCCAGAGGTTAAACAGTGCAAGAGCTAGCCAAAGCAACATGGAACGTTTTCACATGTAAAGATACCTGAAGCGTTCTCCTGAAATATGACCTTGGTTCCTTTCAGAAAGTTTTTTCCAATGATAAAGACTTCATTCCCCCCTTTAACCGAACAGCTGTGTAAACTCTTCTTGAGAATCTCAGGTGCTCCTGCAGGCTGGGCTATAAAAAAAATCAAGCCAATCGGAGGAAGACAGAGAAAGAGACTATTAGACAACCAGGTAACAATGTTCCTGTGCAGCAGACCGTGACTATATATTTAGTTTCCGCACATTACGTGTGGGCCAACACATCCATGTATCACCAGAAAAAAAGGTTAATTTTGTTTTGCATCCAAACAGGAATACCAGGAAAAGCAACTGGTATTATGTTAGTAATGCATAACCAGCAGTGCGTTTACCTAGAAAATTAGGCAAGTGCGTAATTCTTCCTGTTAAGGCTATGTTACATCTCTGTCGTAGGACATTTTCAGATACGTAGATTGTTTGCTTTGTTCCACAACAGGACTTCAATTATGACATTGTTGCATTTTATTTGTGGTTCATTTCACTTTCAGAAGGCAACATTTCAAAGTGCATTTAAATGTGTTTACCTGAGGCACCGTTTACACTGTCAGGTCTTAATGCCCGATTATGATTTGTTGCCTATATCGGATTTGTTTGCCTGTCTGTTTACACGTTGTTTTAATTGTGACCCATATCCAATGCATGCGTTTACACTTGCAATTTACAATTACACCATACAATTTACAATGTCATGCATGCATAAAGGCGGGTTCTAGCGTCTGTGCCACACTAGCCACGATGGAAGAAATTGTCTTGTATTTAGCTCTGCGAAATATGCGAAGTGTAGTATAAGCAGTGAATGGTGTAGTCCAGATTTACCCCCACGCAGTTTATGTATTACCTTAAATGTAATTACAATGTAATATCACTGTAATTAAAATGTAATGCAATGTAATAACAACGTAATGACATAGTAAATAAGTTTATAATTTTACATGTGTACTTTGTATATTTGCATTTATAAATATTATCTTGGATGTGACGACAAAATATTTACAATGTAATTACAATGTAACCACATTGATTGCACACACGTACAAACATGTTTATAAATCAAGAATAAAGTTTTGAATTACATATTACATGCATGTGAACTGTGCATATTGTAGTATATAACTATAAATACACACTGTACAAGAAATATATGAACACTTTTGTAAATCTTGGATTTAAATACAATGTAATTTCAATGTAATGACATAGTAATCCAGGATAAGTTTGTAATTACATATTGCATGTGTACTGTGTGCATGTATTTAAGCATAACACACAAATGCTGTACATGAAACATACAAAAACAAATTTAAAATACTATCATATATGTAATTAAACTGTTATAACAATGCAATTCCAATGTTATTACTTAGTAAGAATAATGTAATGACAATGTTATTACATCCAAAATAAAAGTTTGTAATTACATATGTACTGGGTATATTTACGTATGAATGCACAAATATTGTACATGAAATACACAAAGAAACATTTACGTTTACAATTATTATCTTGAATGTTATTACAATCTAATTACATTGTAATAACAATGTTATAAAAATGTAAATACAATGCTATAACACTTTTATAATAAAGTAATTACAATGTTAAAACAATGTAATACCAATGTAGTTACAATGTAATTACTTAGTAAATATAATGTAATGACAACGTAATTACATCCTAAATAAGTTTGTAATTACATATGTACTGCGTATATGTACATATAATACACAAACACTGTACATAAAATATACAAAGAAACATTTGTTTACAAATATTTTGAATGTAATTACAATGTAATAGCACTGTAATGACTTAGTAAATGCATTTGAAATTACATGTGTACTGTGTATATTTATGTATACAACTAAAAATAACCAAATAGTGTACATGCAATATATATATATATATATATATATATATATATATATATAAACAAACATTTGTAACGACAATATACTTACAATGCAATTACAATGTAACCACAGTAACTGCACATACGAGCAAACATGTTTAGAAATCAAGATTAAAGTTCGTAATTACCTATTACATGCATGTTTACTGTGCAAATTTAAGAATATAACTATAAATACACACTGTAAAAGAAATATACAAACACCTTTGTAAATCTTAGATGTAATTACAATGTAGTGACATATTAATCCAAGATAGGTTTGTAATTACATATTGCATGTGTACTGTGTATGTATTTAACCATAACACAAAAATACTGTACATGAAAAATACAACACATTTAAAATACTATCATATACGTAATTATAAAGTTATAACAATGTAATTATGACGTTAATACTTAGTAAGTATAATGTAATGACAATGTTATTACATCCAAAATACAAGTTTGAAATGATATATGTACTGGGTATAGTTACGTATAAATACACAAATACTGTACATGAAATATACAAAGAAACATTTACGTTTACAATTATTCTTGAATGTAATTACAATGCTATAACAAAATTATAATAAAGTCATAACAATGATATAACAATGTAATAATGTAATTACTTAGTAATTATAATGTAATGACAACGTAATTATGTCTAAAGTAAGTTTGTATTTACATATGTACAGTGTAAATTTACGTTCAAATACACAATTACTGTACATGAAGCATATAAAGAAACATTTACGTTTAGAATTATCTTGGATGTAACTACAACATATTTACAATGTAAATACAATGTAACCACAGTGATTGAACACACGTACAAATATGTTTATAAATCAAGATTAAAGTTTGTAATTACATATTGTATGCATGTTTACTGTGCAAATTTAGGATATAACTGTAAATACACACTACAAAAAAGTTTGTAATTACATATTTATTGGGTATATTTACGTATAAATACACAAATAATGTACGTGAAATATACAAACATTTACATTTACAACTATTATCTTGAATGTTATTACAATGTAATAGCAATGGAATAAACTTTATCATACAGTAATTACAATGTTATAACAATGTAATAACAATGTTATAGCAATGTAATTACAAAAGTGATTGCACACACGTACAAACATGTTTATAAATCAAGATTAAAGTTTGTAATTACATATTACATGCATGTGTACTGTGCAAATTTAAGTATATAACTATAAATACACACTGTACAAGAAATATACAAACACTTTTGTAAATCTTGGAAGTATTTACAATGTAATCCAATTACAGTATTTACATCCAAGATAAGAGTTTGTAAATACAAATTACATGTGTAATGTGTATATATGTATATAACTATAACACAAATACTGTACATGAAATATACAAAACACAATTTAAATACTATCATGGATGTAATTACAATGTTACAACAATGACTATACTGACTGTGAACATTACGACGTGTTTTCTTTGCCTTGCTGTGTTTGTCACTACTGAAAGCAGCAGCAGATAGTTCACCTCAGATATTGACAATAAAATAAACTGCTTGAAATTGAACTTTAGAACTGTGATTCAGGCAAACCAACACATGTCAGTGATACAGCATGTACATTTAATAATGTTAAAGAGGTTTAATATGTATTAATTAGGGTATAAACCTTACAAATTAGTTGGAGTGCAGTAAGTGCACTATTCTGTGCTTCTGAATGGCTGTATTTGAATTTCTGTCATGTTTCGCCTTGTGCTAACAGCAAAAATTACTTATCACTTCGCTGCAAATCTCATCCGTACAGTGTTGTTAGGACACGGGGCTACAATGTAACCTGCTCACTTAGGCCCCGTTTACACTAGTGCGTTTTAGTTTTAAAACGGCGTTTTAGAATGAAAACGATCCGCGTCCACACTCGCGTTTTACCCAGCGTTTCTGAACTGCTCTCCGTCCACACCAAAACGCTGAAAATGCACATCACGTGACCACACACACACACTCAGGCAAGCGCTGATGAGAGCTCTGCTAGTCGGACTTCTCATCAAGCATCTCCCGCTGGATCTAATCTCACTATATTTATTAATCGGGATATTTCATTCATCTTGTTGTCTTTATCTAACGACATATTCCCTGACTTTGGTCACTGGAATCTATTACTTGTTCTCAGGTAACGTGTTTTGGCTGAGCGCAAAGATAAGTTAATGATTAATGTAACCACGTACATTCTGTATATTAAATGATCGCCAGCCTTTATTTCCTATAATGTATAAACTTATTGTAAGTTATACTTTTATAATGGCCATTATCGATTATTAAAACTGATATTCAGCAAAAGAGAGGGTATGTTTCGTATTTTCACTGAAATTGAAAGGAGGCAGTTGTTATGGGCTCCGTTTTCTTATAAATATCTACACAGTGAAGATGACGCTCATAAATGCAGCACGACGCCTCAACATTTCTGCTGTCTGTTAAGTTGTTAATATTAAAATGAAAATAGGCAGTTCCTTATATCATGTTTACATTTTATTGTTGAGAAAGTGAAACAACGTAGCCAGGATGATGTGAATGAAGTTATAAAGTACACGGTTCCCTTTGAAGATTTACCCGTGTCCTCGGTATAGTCTGTTTTCCATATCAAACTGAGAAGAAGAGACTGCAGCCATGATCAAACTTGCGAAGTCTTAACTTACACGAAGAAGATGCAGGACTGAACTGTGTGAGTTAGGCTACTTAATATTCAGGAAAAGCCCCAATCAGAGAGGCGAATGTCTGCAGCCCCGCCTCCGTTTTCAGATGTCTCCGTTTTTGCTCATCCACACTGAGACGGAGCAGCAGCGTTTCAGAATGAAAACGGCCTCTCCAGCGTTTTCGAAACGCTCCGTTTTCGGCGCTCGAGAACTCCGGCGTAGTGTGGACGGATGGCGTAACCGTAGCAAAACTTTATGCGTTTTCAAACAAAAACGCATTAGTGTAAACAGGGCCTTAATGTTCATGTTCGTCAGGGCTGGAGTGGGATTCCTTTTCACACCTGGAATTTCAAGCCTTTGACCGGCCCACCTCAGTTCACGACTGACTATATTAAAATAACGTCATTTCCAATTCAGTTTCTAACAACACTACCACATCTTTTTTAAGGACTCAGCTGCTTTACAACTTCAAATGTTTTTCATAAATATGAGAAGATTAAAGGGTAGCTAAATCTCCAACACTATTATTTAAAACATCACAATGTCCTTTCCTGCAATATCGGAATATATATTTTGTGTAAAAGTTTCTATAGATATCCAGTCCTTTGTAACGGTGGTCACACAAAAAAAATAAAAATAAAAGATGTACACCTACATAAGTAACCCAAACAGTATTATATTTCTTAACACTGAAATAAATAAAAAATTAAAAAAGACTCAGGTGAGGTTCGAACTCGGGTTGGCAGCGCCGTACGCAGCACGCTGACCACTGGATTACAATGGCGCTGTTATGCTGGTGTGTTTGGAATAAAAAATAAGTATTGCACTTTCACCTGCAAGACTCTTTTAATCACAGTATTACTTTCTATTGATGGCTTAATCTTTTTTAATATTTCTGATCGAGTTATGTCAGATTTTTTAATATAGTGAATTGTTTGATTTTCATTGAGCATTTCATTAATATTAATTATTCTAATTCTTATATTCACTAAGGTGCTGCTGTTTGGGGTTGAATGATAGTTACGTTATCATTACCTGCGGGCTGCATTTTGCTCACGGGACTGGAAGAAAATAAATAAAATGAGCGGAGCTGAGGCAAAACAACGAATAAAAAGAGTGAGGCTAAGGTCAAATAAATAAATAAATGAAAAAAAGTGCGACTGCTGAGAGTGCAAGCAGCTAGGGACACCGGCCCTCGCGGCCAAAAAAATGGAGCGGCCCACCGGGAATTCTCACAGTCCTCCCGATTAGCCAATCCGGGCCTGATGTTCGCAATATTTATTTGCTAATTAATAAGCACCTCATGTGGAACTCTGAATCTGCGTCTCATTTCGGAGTCTGCTACTGTCCACCGAAGGTCGCATTTCGGTCACGGATGCGTACTTTGTGAGCCTTCATGATTGTATGAATAAAATATGCTGTTTTCCCCCAAAGTAATTTGGGGTGCTTAAATATAATGGGCCAAAGTGGCATTGGGCAGGTTAAAAAAACCAAAACAAAACATGTAACGCACTTTTTAAAAGCAGAAAATCTGACTCCAGCATTGTTTTTCAGATTAGATCTGTTCACTTAGCATGTTTCTTATATATCTGCAAACACATCATGGTGTTTTATGCTTGAGAAGAGTCAAAGATGTGCATACAGCACCTTTAAAAGTTAAAGTAAAATTACTCCAGTATTAACTTCAGTTTTCAGTGTTCAACACCACACTGTAGGTCTGATATTAATTGAATTTAGAGACAGAATGAAAAGCTTTTAAATAACATGCCAAATGTATGAAAATAATAATACAAATGTACATTCTTTCCTTGTTATTGCAAATTAATTTTCTATGGTCCCTTCCAGTAAGCTTCAGATGGTGTCAGTAGAACTTTAGTAATCATCCTGGACAGTGGTGTAGTCGGGGCTATACGCACATATACACCGTATGCCTAGTTTTTTTTCACAAGCTGTTTGGGTATGACAACTTCTGATGCTCAATAATTGTGTATACCCTAAGCAGGGCCGGAGTGGGACACCTTTTCAGCTCTGGAGTTTCAAGCCTCAGACCGGCCCACCTCAGTTCACGACTGACTATATTAAAATAAGTAAATAAATAAATATTTCCAAATCAGTTTCTAATGACACTATCACGTCTTTTTTTTTTTTTTGAGAAAACAGCTGCTTTAGAACTTCAAATGTTCAACAATCCTAACAGTATTATATGTCTTATCAATAAAAATGAAAACACTAAATTACTCTAACGAGGATCGAACCCGGGTCCGCGGCGTCTTAACCTAACGTACTATCCGCTCGACCACAACATCTGTTTTATGGATGATGACACAACTGAGTTCATCCTTAAAATAGACCAAAAGAGAAGAGTTGCGGTATAATAATGAATAAAAAGGCTGTGGTCAAGTAAATAAATAAATTTAAAAAGTGTGATTGCTGAGAGCAACAGAATCTGGAGCCCTGGAATCACTAGCCCTCGCGGCCAAAAAACGGACCGGCCCACCGGGAATTCTCCCGGTCCTCCCAATTAGCCAATCCGGGCCTGACCCTAATTATACTCACTTGTTTAGCTGATAAGGCTTCCCTAATTTGTGTCCTCTTTAACTGTGTACCAAATGTTTTTAACTCGCACCTTAATTTGTTGCAATTTGAGCATTTTTGTTTCAACAGCGCTATTCCCCACCCCCTGACGACCGCAGAAGCAGTAAAAAAAAAAACATTTCAGAAGAGTTTTTTCGAAGACATCGACAAGTCATCTGAATGATGTCTCGCTGAAACATTCAGGTTCAATTATAAAACAGCATGGGCATCGCTTTAGCCACCTATATTTCTATTCAGCCCCCCTAAATCTTTTGCGATTACCTCATGAAATGTACAATAAATTAGTAGCCTCAGTCCCCTTTAAAGCCAATCTCTGGGTCTGCTGGGGGCACTATTAGCCAAGCATAAATCATTGAACAGGATTAGACTTTTAGCATCTCGCTTTAAAATAAACAAATTTGTTGAAATATTTTTCCTTTTTTTAATGGATAGTTCACCCCAAAAAAATTAAAATCGTCATCATTTACTCAACCTTGTTCCAAACCAGTTTGTCTTTTCTTATTCTGTTAAAGCTGGAAACCCTTAACCATTGACTTCCATAGTGTTTGTTTTTTCTTCTGTGGAAGTCAATAGTTACAGGTAACTTATGTTGAATAAATATACAGTTGAAGTCAGAAATATTAGCCCCCTTTTGATTTTTATTTTCTTTTTTAAATATTTCCCAAATGATTTTTAACAGAGCAAGGAAATTTTCACAGTATGTCTGATAATATTTTTTTCTTCTGGAGAAAGTCTAATTTGTTTTATTTCAGCTAGAATAAAAGCAGTGATTAATTTTTTAAAAAACATTTTTAGGACAAAATTATTAGTCCCTTTCAGCTATTTTTTTTTCCGAGTCTACAGAACAAACCATCGTTATACAATCACTTATTACCCTAACCTGCCTAGTTCATCTTATTAACCTAGTTAAGCCTTTTAATGTCACTTTAAGCTGTATAGAAGTGTCTTGAAAAAATATCTAGTAAAATATTATTTACTGTCATCATGGAAAAGATAAAATAAATCAGTTATTAGAAATGAGTTATTAAAACTATTATGCTTGGAAATGTGCTGAAACAATCTTCCCAGAACAGAACAGAAATTGGGGAAAAAATAAACAGGGGCGCTAATAATTCAGGGGGGCTAATAATTCTGACTTCAACTGTATATTGCTAATGAATCAAAGAAACATTGACTTCGCTCATTTTTTTTGCCCACTTTTAAAATTTGGGTTGGGTAGTACACCATCTTTTTCTTTTAGGAATACACGACTGATCCTGGAATGTTCTCCCTATTGTCTAGCACGGAAATACATTTAAAAACAAAGCCGTACAATTCATCACAGACCTAGTAGCCCTGTTCGGTAAGCACCTGATGTTCTGCCTTAGACTCTCCCTCTCCTCTTTTTTTTTCGGCTCTATGGCCTTAATAATATAAACATTCATTATCCCCTTCTCTAATCCCTACCTCTCCTATGTGATGAGAGCACCAGCTGGGCTCGCCAGCAGGGAGATGCTATGAATAACCCAAAGCCACTCACTGCACAGTATGGGAGACGACGAGGTCTGTAACGTGAGCGCAGAGCCATCGGGGCGTGGGATGTTGACTCGAAACACCAGTCTGGCACGGGTGCTCTTCTTCTTAGACCCGGCCACCCCGATACGGGCCTCCACATCGGCATTCCTGAGCTTCAGGATCCCCACACAGTCCACACTGCAGAGACACCTACTGTCAATATGAATACATCCAACAACCCTGATGGATTTCTAGCCTGAAATGTAGGTTTGGGTAAGGTTTACATACGGTAAAGTCATGTTGCTGCTGGGATCCATTGGCACTTCGATGACTGTGGTGCCTTCGATGTCCACTTCCCTGCAGGCGGTTGTGTTTCGGCCGGTGACTCTGCAAGCCTGGTAGAACCCGTGAGGCTTCACACGTCCGGCATCATTGCCCACAAAGATCTGCATGACCACTGACTCCTTCACACCCTCAAGCTGAGAGGATGGAGAAAATGTGTGGTTATCAGAGTAACATTCATCCATCCAAACATCAATAGTAAGCAGTGAGATCCACAACATAAAAACAGGAGTACTTCACAAAGGCATAAATAGCTGAAATATTTAGCTTTTCTATAATGCAACATCCAAGAGTTGTGCCATATCAACTACTGTAAATGTAATGCAAATTAACAAAAACAGAGGAAACCTATGTATACACTCACCGGCCACTTTATTAGGTACAGCTGTCTAACTGCTCGTTAATGCAAATTTCTAATCAGCCAATCACATGGCAGCAACTCAGTGTATTTAGACATGTAGACATGGTCAAGATGAATGGGGAAGAAAGGTGACAGACTGGTCTGAGTATTTCAGAAACTGATGTTCGATTCGACTTTTAGAGATCTGGGTAGATCTTGGTGTCTTTAGCGAACAGGTGAAAAGATTATTGACACCAGAGGGGGAGTAGATAGAGGAAAAAAAGAAGAGCTGAGCATTGAGGAACCCCATGAGACAGGGAGGCAGGGGAAGAGACATGATCCCCAATACTGATGCTGAACGTCCGTCAGATAGGACCTAAACCACTCAACCGCCAGCCCTTTAATGCCCACCCCAAAAATGTGTCAAATATGTCTTACACAAATATGTGTAAGAACATGTATTTGGTCACTTAAACAGCGTGATAATTGTGATTTATTTCAGTGGATCAGCAAGAGCGGTCACGGGAAAGCAGAACTGAATTTAGCAGCTGATCTGGAAACTGGAAATCCACTGGGAAAGTTTAACAATTTTAGTTTCAGGATCCAAAAGAAAGAAAGATAAAAACTGAAAATTCTTTTGCTGTAAAAAAGCGTTCTTTTGGTTTTGTTTGTGTGACCCACCTTGATAGTAGGGAAGCCCTGCTGTGTTTGGTCTTTGACTGACCCTCGGCTGCCTTCAGTCAGGTAACGCGCTCTGTGCTGGGTCTCAGGCTGCACCACGATCTTCAGTTCTTTCCCTTCACCTTTCTGAGGATACTGACAAGACAGTACCCCACCTTTGAGAGCAGACACTTGTGGTCCATCAGAGCTAGGAAACAATGAATGCTAGTGAAAATCACATTAAAAACCTGTCAAAATATCACCAAAAAATGAAAATCCTGTCATTTTGTACTCATTTTCACCGAAACCCTAGGAATACGCAAGTGTCAACTTTTTGCCACTTTTGCACCACATGAAATGAGAACGATTTTAGTGTTAGGAACACATTTTGAGGATACTTAAGCCCTTTTTGTCAGGATTCTGCCTCTGCTGTTGCAATCACCAGCGACCTCTAACCACCAGAGTTCGCTAAAGAACCTTCTAACTCGTACAAACAACAAATTTGCCAGTTTATGGACTACAACTTCATACATGCACGTCGCCCACACACACCTGCTTCCTCATTTAGACTGATTACACTCGCACCATCTGAGGATTGTCAAAGACTGATTACACACACTATTTAAGCAGCACACACACTCGCGCACATTGCCGAGTCTTGTTAATCTGTAAAGTGACATTACAACGCGTTTCCTAGTCTTGTTTTCCTGTGTTCTGACCTTAGCCTTGTTAGCCTTTTTGTCTTAGTCTGCCGCCTGCCTTACGACCTCTCGCCTGTTACTCGACTACGATTCTGGACAGCCTCTATACATCTGTTTGCACCTGTGTTGACCAAACCTGCTTGTGAATCCTACTCAGTTGTCTCTGTCACTCCCCGTGGTTACAACTTCAGTCTTGGTAATTCAAGACATTGTCCTAGTCCTGTCTTGTCTTGTATGTTGTGCTCGGCTCGAGTTTTCTCAGGTCGAGCACTCTTATGACAGACGATAGCGCCTGCTGTAGTTATTCCAATTGTGTTATTTGTTTTATATTTATCTTCAGGAAATCACTGAAGGCATATATTATGTTATCACAATGATCTAATGTGGCAATAAGATCGTAATACTGTTCATTTAACACAGTGGCCATATTCATCAATGTAAACACACCAAAAACAACATTAACATTATAGCAGACACTGCAAAAAGCTCATTTCCAGCCACTAGACATTACTGACAGGGTAATTGAGTGTCATCGAGTGTCAGAATTCCATGGAACTGCCATACAAAAGTTATGATTATGGATTATAGATCGCAAAATTTAGGGCTTTTTATTTTTGCGTTTTAAAAAGCATGACGGTAACCTGAACGCAGTTATAAATGTATTAAAACATGTGCTTGTTTGTTGTAAAAATACGTAATGACTAAAAAATATTAATTTGTGGATCTCCTTACTTCCGGGTGCAGATGTGGCTGGTGAATTCTGGGAAATTTTCGTACCCCTTGGTTTTTAGTGTAGTCCTGAAAAATCTTCATTCAAAGGGCTATTCACCCCTTCCGCTTAGCCCTACGCGTTCAAGCTAAAGAGAATTGGGACACCCCTACCCCTTCATGTGAACGCGCAAAACAAGGGGTCCTTAGGGCTAAGGGGTAGAATTGGGATTGGGTCTTAATCGTAAGCTTGGCAAACGGTTTTGGAGAATATGATGTTGCACATTAGTGACAATCCCTCCCTCATTAGTATAGACCGCCCTGAGAGAGAAGCAGCTCTCTGCCATTAGTTTTTGCACCATACCTGCCGAAAGATGATGTCAGCAACTAAGGATGCTTTCACACCTGCCTTATTTAGTTAGATTGAATCGCACTAGAGTTCGTTTTTCCTTTTGGCGCAGTTCATTTGGGCAGGTTTAGAATGCAGCAATCGTACTCGAGTGTGCACCAAAAGCGGACCAAATAAGCGTACCGAGACCACCTCCTCAAGCAGGTCTCGGTATGCTTATTTGGTCCGCTTTTGGTGCGCATTCGAGTACACTTTCAAACGAACCCTGGAGCAGTTTGTGGTGAGAATATGATCCGTACTAATACAGGTCCAATTGCAAAAAGTACTGTGCCTTTTGGACTAATCCAGCTGCCGTAGGCCGATGCGCTGTGCATTATGGGATATGGAGGAAAATATTTATTGATAGCGCTTTACCAACAAAGGGAGAGAGAGAGAGAGAGAGAGAGAGGGGAAAACATTACATGATGGATCGTTGGTAATATTTCCGCAAGATGACCATGTCGCAGTTTAGCTAAATTAATTCACGCCTCCTCCTGAAGTGACGAGCGATGCATTAAAACCGTGTTTTCCAGCCGCGGCCACGCTTCATTCTCGAAATGTATAGTTTGTCTAAAGCAGGGATACAATCAGTCAGCGCAGTCGTCCCTCCAGAGTAAAATGACATTTTGTGTCTGCCAGTTTTGTTTACCTGCGGGTGTTCACTGGCATTTTCCCGCACGTGAATTCTGACCAATCAATAAGCAGTTTAGGAAATATTTTCAACAACATCTGGCCAATGAGAGACTTGGATTTTGTCATATGAATGCATTTTGGTTTGTTTCAACTGGTTCGGACCAAAGCCAGCAGTGTGGTGTGAAAACGACCCAAAGACGGCAGAAAATGCAACAATGTATCATTTAATACCCTTGGTGTGGACCAAATGAAGTGAACTACAGATGTGAAAGCACCCTAAGAGGCATAACAAAAGTTGAGTTTTAAGATGCACAAATGAACACCGTAGTCTCCAAAAATTACCTTCTTGTGGGACACTTCTATTGACACTTTTCATTATTCACAGAGATAATATCAATCCTGTTTTGAAACTGCCACTATGCTGACACAATTTCAAATGAGCTCAATCTCATTTGAATTTAAAGCAACAGTCAAAAAAAATGGCACAGTTCAGATTAATGCCTAAAAGGAGCAGTTACGAAAAGATCTGTAGGGCATTTTGAGCTGAAACTTCATATGTACACTCTTGAAACATCAGAGACTTCTTTTTACAACATGGTACTCAATGGCTCACCTTGCTTTGGAACAGGTCTTGCTGTCTGGGCCGAGTTGTGAGAGCACAAAGTGCGGGCCTTTGGCACTGTCTGCATCAAAGACATCCATGCTGGCCTCTTCCGCAGAAACCGGCTTCGGCCCAGGCTTCTGTCGCGGGGTACATTTGCGGGCCTTGCGGGGCACTTCAGTGTTGTCGTTGTAGGAACTAGAGCTCACAATGCTGAAGTTAGACACTGAGTTTTCAATCCAGATGCTGCTGCTTTGCTCCGAGTCGAGAAGCAGATCATCCTGGCAGGACATGTGGCTGTCATCGAACAGGTCTTCGGGTGGAGGCGAGATGTTGAGGACAGGCCGTTTGGAGGGGGTCATCTGGGTCTGCTGGACACCTTTATCTCGACCAGAGGGTTTGTTTTCCACAGCCTCCGATTTCCTTCGACTGCTGACATCTCCTGATGAGCCGCTGTCGTGTACGGTGCTTCGATCTGACGCTGAGGTGGGAAAAGCACTGCGAGGACTTCCAGAGCTCATAGCAGAAGAGGCGGACGAGGCATCTGTAGTGCGTACAATCAGACAGTCAATAAAGGCATCGGTATCAACGCGAGTCCCAGTAAAATCAAGACATTTATCATCATTTCTTATTGACTGTCTTATTGGTAATACTTTACTTGAAGGGGGGTGTTCATAAGACTGTCATAAAAACATAAAAGAGGGTTCTTGCATGCTTACAACAACTGTCATGTCATTTTAAACGCAAAGGAGACAATATGTTTTCATCCACCTATTTTTATGCACATTTGGAATTTCGCATAGAAATGCTTGATGGAAATGCCAAGATATGCATACATTTAGAAAGTGTGCATAAAAACTTGTTCTTTGCGCATTGAAATTGTCTTCTGAAATGCAAGAAATGTATTAAATAAGAAAAAGACTCAGAACAACTGTCTTCTAGCAAAGTAAATTGGGGTTTTGTTTTTTTGTATTTTGGCCTCAGTATATCAGGAAGTGGAAATTTTGTTCTCTTTGACTCCTTGGATGAAAACATTGGTTTATTTGAAAACCTTTTATGCGATATTCCAGTTTTGATTCCCATCTTTGGATGAAAACAGAGCTTTTTATGAACTTGACATAAACAATCACAACCTGTTTTTGTCACGATAACTTGACATTACCAAGACAACATAACCTGTCATAAATCTGTCATAAACATGACTGTCATGAGCCCATTATAATTAAGTGCATGCGACAAACAACCGTATACATCCCAAACAAACAAAAAAAAAGAGATAACCATGTGACATTAATGGTATGTGTGAACTTTGTGAGCAGATACAGTTTAGGGAAACTTTGGCGTGACTGAGAGCGTTTTTGCATTTTAAACATTAAAATAGATTCACGAGGAAAAACCGTATTTGTCAACTAAGAAAAATAAAGATGCCACTTGCTTTCAAGTCCGCTTTGGACATTAAAAGGCAAATCCTCTGCAAAAAAAAAAGAAGAGCTGACATGAACAAGGGGAAAAAACAGAGTAGACTGAAAAAAATTATTCAGAGATGATTCCTTGGATTTACTAAATTTTTTACGTTAAGTGGTTGTAAACAATTTATTTGTGTTGAATTTAAACAAACAAATTAAGTTGAACATTGTTAAACTTAATTTGTTTGTTTAAATTCAACACAAATAAATTGTTCGCAACAGTTCTGCATGCAACACTTTTTTCAGTGTAAGAAAGGCTTTGAGGGATTCTGGGAAAGCATATTTTAATTGAAAAGGAGAACAAAGACCAGGGAAAATCCACCGAAAGAGGTGAGTGGAAGAACCGTATTTGTGATGTGATCTCTCTGTCTTTGAACGCGATGAGGAGCGCTAAACAGCACCAAACAGTTAACTTATCCAAATAAACCACATACCCTATATATTAAAGCTGCATCAATGCAATCAATTTCCCGCCAGTCCTGTCTAAACTACGACAACCAAAGTTAATTTGTTTATTTATTTTTATAGTGAGATGGCAGAGTGCAAGAATAGCTTGAAGTAAAGCATACAGTAAGGTTTCTGTTACTTTATTAAAACAAAGATAAAGGAATCAGATCTTTAGTGGTTTAAAGTGATATGATTAATCAGAGTTATACTGTTATTTCACACTAACTGGACATTTATATTGTTCTTCCACATGTGGGAAATAAAAACCACAATAATTTTTAATACTGACACTGAAAAATGTGATCTCCTTAGAAATGAGAAGCTTTTGTTGTCTATCTGCAGGTAAATTTATATATATATATATATATATATATATATATATATATATATACATACATACATATATATATATATATACATACATATATATATATACATACATATATATATACATACATATATATATATATACATACATATATATATATATATACATACATATATATATACATACATATATATATATATATACATACATATATATATATATATATATATATATATATATATATATATATATATATACATACATATATAAATATATATACATACATATATATATTTATACATACATATATATATATACAGTTGAAGTCAGAATTATTAGCCCCCCTGAATTATTAGCACCCCTGTTTATTTTTTTCCCTAATTTCTGTTCTGTTCTGGGAAGATTGTTTCAGCACATTTCTAAGCTTAATAGTTTTAAAAACTCATTTCTAAAAACTGATTTATTTTATCTTTTCCATGATGACAGTAAATAATATTTTACTAGATATTTTTCAAGACACTTCTATACAGCTTAAAGTGACATTAAAAGGCTTAACTAGGTTAATAAGGGTAACTACATAGGTTAGGGTAATTAGTCGAGCTATTGTATATCGATGTTTTGTTCTGTAGATTATCGAATAAAAATTAGCTTAAAGGGGCTAATAATTTTGTCCCAAAAATAGTTTTTAAAAAATTAATAACTGCTTTTATTCTAGCCGAAACAAAACAAATAAGACTTTCTCCAGAAGAAAAAATATTATCAGACACACTGTGAAAATTTCATTGATCTGTTAAAAATCATTTGGGAAATATTTAAAAAAGAAAATAAAAATCACAAGGGGGCTAATAATTCTGACTTCAACTGTATATATATACATACATATATTTATACATATATATATATATATATATATATATATATATACACATGTATACACACATATACATACATATATATATATATATATATATATATATATATATATATATATATATATATATATATATATATATATATATATATATATATATAATATTCCCAATCCATATGAAAAAATCCTATTTCTCAAAATTTAAAAAAATACGGACTTATATGGTTCTTCATGCTAACAAATGAGGCCTTGAGATGATTATTTTTCTGATCACTTTCTTCAGTGGGACAAACAATAAAATGTCTTATTAAAATTGTCAAAACTTTGTCAATTAATTTTATAACATTGTCTTCAATATTTGATGACATTTAATGCCTGGTGCCCCTATAGGTCAAGAAAAGTAGCAATCATGCTGTTGTAAAACTCATGACACAAATATAACGGCCTCATGACAATCATGTTTATGACAGATTTATGACAAGGTCTTGATAATGTCAGGTTCATTCATTCTCCTTCTGCTTAGTCCCATATTTATTAGGGGTTGCCACAGCGGAATGGACCGCCAACTATTTCGGCATATGTTTTATGCAGCGGATGCCCTTCCAGCCACAACTCGATACTGGTATTCTGGGAAACACCCATACACTCTTACATTCACACACTATGGGCAAATTAGTTCATCCAATTCAGTCTTTGGACTGTTGGGGAAACCGGAGCACCCAGAGAAAACCCACATGAACATGGGGAGAACATGCAAACTCCACATAGAAATGCCAAAAGGCCCAGCCGGGACTTCTGGCTGTGAGGCAAGAGTGATAACCACTGAGCCACCTTGCTGCCCCTAATGTCAAGTTGTCAGACAAGTTATGACGTATTTGTTAAGACATCTCAAACAATGTAACTTTTGCATTTAAAATGGCACAACTGAGCGAATGACACTTAATGACAGCTGTCATAAGCATGCATAAATTCTGATTCGTATCCAGGATATTTTTGATTATAAAGATTTCTTGACGTATATCTAATGAACACCCCCCCTCAAGTAAAGTGTTACCTACTTATCTTTCAAATAGCCCATGTTTTTAATCTTTCACAGAGCATTATCTAACATTAAGGCAAAAAAAGCAGTTGGAATTCTGTGGAAATACATGAACAAACAAAAATAGAGCAAAAACGATCATGCTGAATAACATCTGTGAAAAAGGAAAAACAAGCATTTCATGTAGAGTTACTGCAGAGCAGGACAAGACATCACTCTCCAAGACATTACACGCAGCCTGCTAGCCATAATAATCCTCTAATGTCTTGGGTTTTATTTAGGCATACATTGGTAAATGAGCACTTGCATATGATACGACCCTCAAAAACAAAAACTGTTACATAGCATAGGTTTCAATATTTACTCCAGTTGAGGGTCGACATCTTTTCATCCAGATGTGTCAAATGATGCAAGCAAAGTCTTAAACAAATTTGCACAAATTTTGATGGAGTGTGCATAGCCACAGAAACAACATAAACCGGTGTCTGACCTATGAAGCAGAAAACTGCAGAGCATTTTGTATGCAGACACTCCCTGCATCACAGAGAAATTCCTGGAATGAAAACGAGACAACCAATGAGTAATAAACGCTGACCATTGAAATAGATTCAAATGAAGAAGGCTTTGTTTTAATTGCATTTGTTTGGTTTTGGTGCATCTAATGGCATTCATTTGCCTTGAAAATCAAACCATACATCGGACAAAGAAGGTGAGGTAAAGCATTCCCATTGGACAGATACAGAAAATAAAACCTGTGGATGAAAACATAGCTTTATGACAACTTAACATAAACAATCACGACCTGTTTTTGTCTTTCTCATGCTGACTTGACATTACAAAGACAACATTAGGCATGGGATCATAAGGTATACTGCGGTTTGGTCAAGGTTTTTAAACCGACAAAATGTTCTGTAATACCGTTCCTAGGGTGTGTGTAAGATTTTTTTTGTACATTTTTTGTTGCTGTTTTTTAGGACAACAGGAGAAAAGATATTCAAAGATGTCACTTTAAAACAGCAGAAGTCAATGATTCATTTTTAATATTTAGCTTGACATGTTTACTGCTCCAAAATATTTTAAATGTTTCACAAAACTAAATATATTGTGTTTAAAGAGGGAAAAAAGCTTACCTAGATATTTAAAAAGAATATATTTCATAGCAGTAATCACAACACCCTGATACAGTGAAACCGTGATATTTTTATCCAAGGCTATACCGTCAAAATCCTATACCGGTCCATGCCTAGACAGCATAACCTGTCATAAATCTGTCATAAACATGATTGTCATGAGGCCGTTATAACTGTTAGCATGATTATTTATCTGATCACCTTTTTCAGAGGAAGAAACTGAGGCCCGGTTTACACTAGTGCGTTTTAGTTTTAAAACGGCG